CTTATTAGGTTACAGAAGCTAAAATCTTTTAATTTTGCCTCCAGCTGGACTTGAACCATTGACCTTGACTGTGGAGGATATAAGAGCTTAACTGCTAAGCTATGGGACCCACATCCTATTTAATAGGATTTACAATTATTTATGATACTTTAAATAATATAACAACAAGGTAAAACCCGTGCAGCTAGCTAGTAAAATCTGCTATGCAGATCACATGAGGGTGAAATCTGCATTAATCTATAAAATACACTATGCTAACGCGAATTTTACCCAAACCTTATGATCAAAGTGAGTTTTACTAGCTAGCTGCGCAGGTTTTACCCTGACATATAATATAATTAAATTTAATTCTCTGATTATCGAATTAGAAGCAAAAGTTAGAAGTGACAATAATTACTCAATTATGACATAATTATGCACTATAAAAAGAATAAACAGTTCATTTTTTTAACCTGACTACAAAAAATAAAAGTAGTTCATGTATCTTATCTCAAAGTTCCTATTATTATGTACTTTTTGTTTTATAAAATTCTTAGTCTTGCCTTATAAAATTTTTACTTTTATGATAACATATAAAGTTTTAAATGAATAATCTTTCACCACATCGTATTAATGCTGATAGAAGTATTAACTTACTATTTGGCTATGTACTTGAAACTTATATCAACTCGTTACCTTTATTATCAAAGTGTAAACTTAAAAAGCAAAGCTGACTAAACGTTAATGAAAGTATTAAAGCTGGTTTCATTACTCTAAAACACGTCAAAGGTGCTATTGATTATCTTATATAAAAAACAGCTAAAGAGCAAAAAAAATCAACCAATAGAATTGACAATATAATCAAACTTACTAATAAAGGGCATGAACGTGTATCTAAATTTAAACAGAATACAGCTTAAGATCTAACAGTATGGCGGTGGATTTTCTTTTGTGATGGTACTATCAGTTGTGAAAGGGCTTGTGGTGGGCTTGGTAAGTGCAAGCAAGAATGCTCAAACTTTAGTCTAAAAAATAATCTTACAAATGACTTTGACATGCATAAGTGTGGAGTAAGAGTTATTACGAAGGTCATGCTTTCTAATACTGAAGACCCTCTACCAGTACAATTAATTATAAAAGGAGTACATAAATCATCTGCTCTTATGACACTAGATCTAAAATCTATACGAATCAATCTCAGTCTTCAAACCTGTAATAAAGCAATTGCTGCATGCCGTGCTCATCATAACACAGGAACAGAAATTGCAATGAAAGTATTAGCTCCATATAATAATACAAGTGAAACTTATCTGACATATCTGCACAATACAAGTAAGGATATATGTATAGAGCAACAGCTAAAAATATTGATTGAACGAGATGATGTTTGATTACGAGAGAATATTGAGCCATGAACTGTCTTGGACTAATTAGTTACTACACATTTGAAAGAGCAAGAAAAAATACTTTATTATCAGCATGGTGATATCTTAGCACCAGAAAATAGCTTTGAACATTATTATCAGTTAACTGTAAGTGATGAACTATGGCTTAAGCAAGGCTGTGATTGTGGTCATTTTTGTTTTGGAATAGATAGAAAATATGATTTAAACAACGAAAAAGCCCCTGTTATTGTCATAGTCATTGAAGATCAAGCTGGTTATGGATCATCATTAGTATTTAGTCTATGTGATAAAGAGAACCATCACATAATACAAATAGCTGTACAAGCTGTACAAGCAAATATTCCATGTAGTGATCCTAATTGCTTGCATCAATACAATTATATTAACTTATTAGATAGAAAGGAATTTCGACGTCAACTTGAATATGCATCTAACTGGTATCCACTAGCTAGGATAGACAAACATCGATCTACTAAACTTGCATTGCAAGGTCTTGTTCGCAACACAATTCTTTGTTGGTTTCACATCATGGCTACATTAGGAGAATATTTAAGAATATGGAAAGTAGATTGGTTATTACGGTATCCGATAGCACTTGTCTTTAAAATCATAGGTTGAAGCAAGTCAAATAAAGAGGCTACTAAAATGAAAAAAAAATATATAGAATTTATTAATTTTTTACTACTTGATAGCAACATAAAAGACAACTTGATACGTGATTTAAAAATGAACTGGATTTGTGATGAATGGCAACAAAGCTTTATTGATGGAGGAAGAATGCTGCAAGTGTATGACCAAGCCAATGTAAAACCAATGACAACAAACAATTTCACAAAGCAAATGCATAAAACTGTAGAAGCATGATGCAGTAGGACACAGACTGTTGTAAAATTTATTGAGCGTCTATATGAAATTAGAATTTTTCAAGAAGCATTAGTTCAGAAAGAACTTGGTGAAATTAATTTTGATGCAGGCTTGGCAACATACTGGAATATGTGCATGATCGAACATAGGCAAATGTTACCTAAAAAATCAGTTAACAAAAAATGCTGTATAAATCAGGGACATCTTTATGTTCTTCTTGGCTTGGTTTTACCAATTCCGAAAAAAATGAATTATATGTTAGTTGAAAAACAAAGTAGAAGATTTTGTTCACTATATAACTTCTATCCTGTTAATATATCAACGAGAATATCAGAAAAGCTAAATGATATGATTATCAAATTAGTTAATAGAGATAATCTTCATATACCTGAAACACATTATCTTGTTAATGTAATATCTGGAGAATGCACATGTTATGACTATATTTGGAATGGTCTTTTTCGTGACGTTTGCAAGCATGTGCATGCTGCACGATTGTATATAGAAGTCTTATATGGAAAAATATATATACAAGAAATCAAAGAAAGGCTAGTAAAACATTTTAAAAATAAAGAACGTACAGTTGCACCTGAAAAAAAAAATTATATTATTCACAATAGTTATAGTGATGAAGTCTATCATGAGATTCTATGACTTTATAGCAATGTTGATAATAATATCTTTTTTTCAATAGAACGAATTATAATAGCAAAGGATCCTTTCCATCCAATAGATAATAAACCAATTCTCATAACAAGTGGAGCACCTAAAAATAATGGTACAAAACTTCGTAAGAATAGTCAAATTTTTTATTCTAATAATATACAGTTTAATAAAACAGAAAATACCTATATAAATAAGGTCAATCAAGAGCATAATAGTTTTGACAATTCAATACTTTTTGAAGTTCCAATTGATTTTAATGAGCAAGAGCATAATAGTTTTGATGAATTTCTAATTGATTGTAATAATCAAGAGTATAATAGTTTTGACAATTCAATACTTTCCGAAGTTCCAATTGATTATAATGAAAGTGCTTCAAGGTTTGTAAATCCTCACTCTATTTGCAGGCGCAATACCACTAGAACTCGAAATAAACGTCAAAATAGCTCTCAGGTTGTGAATTTACTAGTTTTTAATTGGCATTAGTTTAGAAAGTACCTATTTCCACTATGGTTTTCACACAACTTTTATCTATATTTATATGAACATTGTTATGATAAATTATAGCCAATGGTGAAAATAGGTGCTTCATTAGTTAATATTATGCAATTTACTAAGTTTTATTTTTATAAATAGACTCCAAATAATAAACAAAGAAATGATGCTACTTTCACTATAAAAAAGTCACTGGAAGAACTTTTTCTTGAAAAAGAATATATGTGGAATCCACAAGCATTTACAAATGCAGCCTTGGCTAAAAGATTGCGATTGGATGATAATCCAGCTGAAAATGGTGTGAAATTATATAGATGGATAAGTAATAGAAAGGTTCGAGCAAAGAATGGAAAAGAAAATTCAAACTAGCATATTTGGTTAACACTGCTATTAAATTATAGCAAGTTAGTATAGGCTAGTGCACATAAGAATTTAATTGAGTTTACATAGTTAAATTTATTGTTTAAGCTTTAAAACTTACAATAAAATATAAGGTAGCTTGAAAGATAATAGAAATTAACAGTCATTAATATTCTTTTTTTATTTATTTTATTAATTTGTTAGTTGCATGATATGAGTTATTAAAATTATAAGTGTATTATTTAAGTAACATAGAATCGGGGTTTATTTTCTTACAAATTTCAGTAAGTTATGTAACTCTCTAAAATATATTTAAGTTCGCTTTTGCTTTTCAAAATGTTGAACTAAAACACAAAGCTTTTTATCAAAATTACTGTTAATAAATTATCTTTATTTGTTATAGGTTTTTTTATTTTCAGGCTTTATATAAAGTACTTATAAGATTTAAGACAAGTATGTAGTTTAAATAGTATATCATATGTACATAATAGTTCAAGTTAGAAAGCATCAGAAATTTATAATATCATCTATATACAGCATTAGGATCAGTATCGATGATCCCATCAGGAATAGTATTGATCCATCAAGAACAGTATGCATATCGAATTTTTTTTTTGCCCTATCAGGATCGGTACTGCTGATTCATCAGAAATAGTAGTTTTGCCCTTTTGAGCTCTAACAAAAAAAATTTCTCGAGTGATTTTACTATTACCTTTCTAAAACCTAGCTCTATTATAAATGCTAACCCTAACTTAAATGAATTTAAAGATTTTTAATGCAGTCACATGAAAGTGAAAATTTTGATGGCGATACTAGAAGTCCACCAGGGCACGAATACTTATTTGCACACATAACACAAACCTTATTTGGAAATAATCAGCAATATATTAGGCTGCATAATATTAATTAATGTTTATTATGTGAATTTTAAAACTGGGTTTTACAAGTTTTAAAAATTAAAAATTTACAAACAAAAATTTTTTTTTAAACCTACTTGGAAGTATTTATAGCAAATAGCTTATAAAATTACATAAGAAACAATTAACTTAGCTTGTATTTTTTTTAAATTGAATCAATTCAAATATAATTTAAAATGTAAATAAAAATTTTAATATGTATATGTTGTGCCTCAGATCAGTTCTTGTGTCAGATACAAACTAACACATATCAGATGCTGATTTTCAGATGATGCACATAATCTGTTGATTGGTCATCTGAGGTGCGTAAGATTTGATCTGATGCAAGATCATTATCTAAAAAAAAAAAAAAAGTTCTTTGTCTTTTGATAAACTACTTTGAGTCTGGTATGTTACTATTGTAATATTTCTGCACTTTAATATTATGATATTAACTTATTCTATCCTGTTAACAAGCTCTTAACATTTTTAACTTTATTGAGTATTATTAACAGGTTTATCATCTAAAATTATTTATTAATGATATTAACATCATAATGAATAAAGATGTAAAAAAAAACTTTTGCTCTAATTTTGTCTTCTTTTCTTGCTATTTGATATTACTTTGTCACAATATTTTTTTTAATCATATCACTTAGTTGCAACATTTTTTTTTTTAATTGCATTACTTTTGTTGCTACTTTTTTTTTTTTAATATCATTATTTTTGGTATAGCATTTTTTTTTTACAATAATATTTACTTTTGATCCTATATATTCTTATTTTTATATCTTTGATTTTATTCGTGTTTCAATTAAGTGTTAGCATTATTTTTTGATGCTGTTTTATTATTCTGATCTAGCTTCATTTTTGTTTGCTATCACTTTATTTCTTTTAACTTTTAACCTTAACATCTTTTATTATCTGTATAAATAGAATATACATTTATTAGTAGAGATACCTTCAACCAAATCATGGAAAAGTATATAACTAATCTTTCAAAAACAAAACAAAAAAAAGCCTTAATAAACAATAAACTTTTAAATCAAATTAAGGCTATCTTATTAAACCCAAAAGATACCTCTCTTTGTGACAAAAATATAAGATTCTAGTCTAAAAAAAAAAATTTATACTTGAAGAAATTGTATCAGAAGACTATAGAGTACTTGTAAAGTCACAAATAATCCTATGCTAATAGTAGAGAAATTCTATAAGGTTCTATATTATACCTATAGTGTGGTTACTCAACACAGAGGTCAGAAACAAACATGGACATCAATCTAAGAAAAATGGTGATTTATTAGACAAGAAATTTTTTTTTTTATTTTTTTTTTTAAAGCTGATGTTATCAGTAGCTACCACCTTTATTTGTGTTTTTACTCAATGTATTATATGTGACTTGTACAAGCTAAGTATGTAACTAGCCATATGTGTAACTTTTGGTTACCTATTTAAGTAGTCCACTTAAGAGTTCTACACTAGCTGTCATGCTTGTAACCTACTAGAAGAGTACCTATTTAAACACTCTGATCCTTATACTACACCCAGATGAGTAACATCTGGTTCCTATACAACTAAGTATCATCTAACTCAACATTTAGCTATCTCCTTTTGTATGTTTGTTAAGCCATTAAACATTTCAGAATACATTACCTGACTGTAAGGTTTCAAGGTACCTTTTTGTTAACTACCTACTTACTCTATAGAATATTAATAAGGCTAGTCCTTGTAGAGTTCACCCAAACCCTAGCACCTACTTTACAGCATATCTCTAGTACTTATAGTATACCTCTGTTTTGACCCCAAACTTCCAATCTAGATAGCCTGATAGGACTGTGATCTGTCCTTGGTATATCGAGCTGGTCTGATATCCTTTTTCTTCAGTTTAGTTCTGGTGACCTAGTTGGTAGTACTTCTCACCTGAGGTTCTTGCCTGTCTAGCTTCTTCACATTGGTATCTGTTTCCTAGATCTAGCCTTTATAGTAGTACCATCAAAAATTTGTATCACCTCCTACTCAGGTCTTTCCAAATAGGCTTCAGTTTCTTAGTTCTACAGATTTATATAGCCACAAGGACTTTTCTTAGGTTTGCACTGTCTGATACTGGTTTGTATTCCTTTGTGTAATCAAGGTTACACAGATGCCCTGTAACCTGTCAGTCATGCTGGTGTGACCATAGTTACAGGTATCCTATCTCAACTGATCAACAGAATGCTATTACTATAATACTGTCTATGTATTACATAGGTGATTATTCAAATTTGTGCTGTTGGTGGGTTTTGAACACACAATCTACCACTTGGGGGTTGACAACTTATCCACTTCACTAAGTCGCCACACCTCTTAGACAAGAAATCATTAAAGAATTTGTAAATAATTATATAGTATATGCAGTAAGAAAGCCAGCATTTCATCCTTTGGCTGCAAAACCAATCATTGCAAAATATTTTTTGTCTTATTTACAAGTAATATTATATTTTTTTTGAGATTAAATAAAATTAAACTTTTTTTTTTAAATTGTACTTTTATTTTACAGATAGATCTGATTGACCTATCTTATATCCCAGACAGAGAGTTTAAATATTTTTTTTTTTTTTTTTTTTTTTTTTTTTTAACCTTAAGCAGTTACGCTAGTACTTTATTAAGATTCTTGAAACTA